TATATATATAGTAAAAATATGCATACGTTATGGTCAAGCGGGACGGCTTATTTAGAAGAGATAGATCTCTGTACATGGCATCAGCCTAACGAGTGGGTTCAATTTGCCGAAGGCTAAAGAGTCTTTTCACATAAAACATTTGTTCGGTATCTACCTATCGATTCTCAGGCATTGAACAACATTTGCATGGTTATGGTGGCAGCTGTAAATATTACAATAAGTAACACTTTTACACTTCTGGGAGCACAGACATTACCACAGATCCACCTATCATTGATGCAGCAGACCGGATAGTCAAAGACCAATTAGATGTATTACGTTATATAGTATTTTATATCGAGTCTAACACTTTGCAGTTTGAGTCTGCTCTTCGCTGGTTTAGACAGGAGACTGAAGCGCGTTTTCCAGGCTGACACATATAATATACGCGTACGTTAAGTTAACTCTCTGCTTAAATTAGTTCGAGTAATCCACGTCAAGCTGTCTGAAAGAACTTACATCAATGGAAGAAGTATAATAATCGCTTCCTACGCATCTCGGGGTAGCTCGTTTACTTAAACGGTGGAAGATCCACTTGGTATTAAGTGAAGCGATAAAGTACGTGCATTGAATATCCACTAGTGCATTTATGACATTAGGACGTACCAAGTGAATGGATATAGCTTTTCTATTAGAACTATGAGATAAAACCTTAGTGTAGACCGCACCAACAATGCGGGTACGCGGAGGGAAACGAAGAAGAGCTATTTCCTCTTTCGAAGGATCGATACGCACACATCATCAAACTTGACGCATATATGTACTCACCGTTAGCGAAGCCTATTTGTCGACAGGTGCACTTAGCCGATAGACTGTGCTAGACGATGAACGCGTTACCCTGTCACGTGTTTAAACACGTAGGAACAGTGCCAGGTAACAGAATTTTGTGTCGTCCTTTTACCAACAAAACTGCTCATGAGAATTCTACTGTACAACACGATATGGCGGTAGGCTGTACTTAGAGAGCGCAAATTAATGATGAACGTGTGGATCATATATGATGTCTTTACGATTGGAGGTTGAATGCTCTAAGATGGCGCTGATACGTTGTAGTTATCCTCGATGTTAAGTCTTTAGTCTACCCAACTTAGTTGTGTAGACTAAAGGCGGGAGGAAGCAATTGCGGGACGAACCGACACATTGTACGGGTCTCATGAGTGATTTATATTTAGGTTTAAACCTAACATAATAACAGTAGTGGTCGCGTAGGTTCACAAAACTACGAAATACAGTAAAGAACGGTGCACGAAATCGGGTTGAAATGCCCTATTGCGAAGTGTTTCTACCCTTTATCAATGATTTTGTCGTTCGCACGACAACCGTTGCCAAATAAAGTAGTGTTACTGTAATAGTTTTCCATACGAATGAGACGACCGATTAGTTGAGGAAACGATGGTATACAGCTTCTACATCTTCGCCCCATACTTCATCGAGATCTCGACATATGAGTTCAAAAGGAAGTTAAATATCAAGTTGCATGAGAGTGGTAGGTGTCGGCCCATTGAATTGGGGCCTTTGCTTTTATCTAAAATGGAGTGTGTGTATATGTCCGGATCTAAACCTCGAATACCCCATGTCGGTAAGTTTAGAATGCAAATGCACTACCCACTGCGCTACGATGTGTACAAAAATTGACTAGCTGGATACCTAGATGTTAAAAGAATCCAGAATCTTCTCTGCGTGCAAGGCGGCGAATATAACCTAGAAGACGGTCCAAGACTCACGGTCCAAGTAAGTCAGATGTATACAGAAAGAGGTTTGGGATTCGGAGAAAAACACGCTGATCATTAGGTGACTGGCATCGTTCTCGTTCGACATTAAATCTTCGCTGTCTTATTTCCTAGTGTGGTGAAATAGTCATTCTATTTTCAAATGACGAGTTGTCATTGTTAAACACACAACTGAGCTCTTCTAAAAACACCTTCATCAAGTTAATGGAAGTGAAAAAGATAAAAATGCTGCCTATAGCGAGCGTTTTCCCCTTTCAAAATGCACACTTATGAATGCATAGCTTGAGTACTGAGGCATAGCTTGGACCGGCTGGATCAGTTCTTCTCGTACGGGAGCTCCGAAACTCAGCCGTGAAGGGAAGCGTGTAATCGCTTTGAAATATGTGATTGATGCCGTTAACGTGCATGCGCATGCGCATGCGCATGCGCATACGCATAGCAGTAATTAAACGGTTAATTAACCTTGATTTATGTTGTCAGTGGATGCTGCTTTGTACTGCTGCTGTCATTTGTCGGCTAAGTTACGCAAACAAACAACGCAGTTGGTCAGGGCGGTATCATTCAGGAAAATAGGAACGAAAAAGCAATATGGTCGTATCACAGAGCTATCGAATGGAAACACTGAAACAGGGGTTTTCGAGGGTGGTAGTCAACAGGGTCAGAAAATTTCGTTTGTCGGTAGGAAAGGGGAAGGAGAAAAGGGAATAGATGAAACGAAAGAGAAAAAAAGAAGATACCGGGATATGAGCTGATTTCATTGGGTTTTCTGTTCAAAGTAATACGGCGTTTAAGTAGCCTCAGACATCCGAATCGCAAGCGTTTCAATTACACCCCACCCACTCTACGCTCTTACAGTATTAGTAGTAGAATTGCCTATCACTGTCACGTAAGAGGTAGCAAAACTGGTCCAAATAAAATATGAAAGGCAAGAGAGACAACGAGCAAGAATAGATTTCTGACCCTAAGGACAGGTCGAATGTATAGAGAAAAACAACGGAAAATGGTGGTGGAAGTTAAAATCGGGGTGGGTAAATGGCTGGTTTTGAGAAGAAACGAAAAGGTAAGCATAGCAAAAGATGTCCATTGTGTTCTTTAGATTGGTATACTCGCCAGTTTTAGCTAGGCATGATTTCATACGCCTGATGAATAGATAGGTGGTAACGGCCATATTATTAGCTGAGAGTAATGGTAACTCTGATATAGTAGTTACTCTTGCGTACTCTCATCTTGAATGTCTGAACCCATTTCGCTACTGGGTCTGATTTAACAACAGGGTGGCGTACCCAGTTGTTAGCCTGCTGCTTCACGCACAGCACTGTATCAAAGCTGCCGGCAAACGATGATCTCGAATATAGGGTAGACAGAGGGGCCGAACGGAATCACTAGAGGTTGTTAAAGTGTTTTTAGGGTACGTTCGATAATATTAAGATGGGACGGAGCGTGAAAGGGTGATAAAAAGCGGGAGATGAGAAGTTTGGCAAGCTGAAGCGTCGAAAGACTGGTGCTGCCCTGTTTTGACTAGGGCTCAGGGAGATATTATATTGTGACCACTAAGTTACGGAGGAAGGAAGGCGGTGAAACTTGTGATGTTTTAGACAGATGGCAGCCCGCTCTCCACCGGGTGGCGTCGTAGTTGCATAGTTGACAGTTGTTCTATTTCTACAACTATGCAGCGGCGTATTGTAAAACAGCGCTAAAATATAGAAAAATAGCACGACCTGTGGGGGCTGAAGATGGCCGTCGGTGAACATATAAGGCAGGTCCAAATTTAAGAAACCAAAATTAACGGTAAAAAGAAGTCGTCCTATTTTTTGTAAATGAAGAATTCAGTTTGATGAAGTATTGCGTGAAAAACATCTAGTTAGCGTTATCCCTTTCAAAAACGCCGATAGTCTCAGCTATAAATCTATTTGACGTAGTAAGCTTTCAGCCTCGAATGGACATCCAGACAGAAGCAGCTTTTTGGATCAAAGCAGAACAACTACCAGTTAATAAGATAGTAAATTTTAGTCGATGAGGCCACGGTGCCATAAGGCTTTCTGGATGGCTCAATAAAAACCGCAATGGTTATTACATTTGAATAGTTCATTGGAAATTCCAGCAATAGGCCTAAGATTTTCTCTGAAAATTTTGTAGTCCAGGATGAGAAAGACTAAACGACATATCTACTCCTGACAGTCTGCGACTAGCTCAACGATAGCACTTTTACGTTTGAGGAGAGGTCCCATTGGATACAGCAGTTATATTTTAGATTGTATATTTCATCAACTGATCTACTATTCGTGATGTATTTCTCGTTTCATCTTTTAGGACACGACAATTTATTACGTTGAAAGGACTACACGCAACTTTTCCCTCATGAGATTACCAAAAACAGACATTCGGTATGGGATCAGTCGTACTTACTTTGTTGCTCCTACAACAACTGATAAAATCTTTTATCTATTAATAGATAATTGTTAGATTACTATTATTAAAACGTAAGATTACTGGAAATAGCTTCAGATTTACGCATGAACATTTTTAAATGAAGATAAGCGATCATGACAACGTTCTAATAAATTTATTTCTCAATCACTTAGCAATAGCACGTGACGCTAGAAATAAAAATGCACTTCATAAATTTTTTGTTATATATTATGAGTAAGTGTATACGGCATAGTAAATATATTCTTGGCACACGGTGATAATTTTTCGATGAGCGCTTTTTGCAATATTTTTTTTCTTGTAACAAAAGCAACATTAGTTATTTTCGCAAGCGGCGGATCATTTTAAAGGCACATTTATTATTAATATATTATATTATAAGCAGCAGTGCCGGATTCGTTTACAACGTTTACTAACGGTCAAAAGGCCGGCTTACTTTTTCTGCACATCTTTTAAAATTGCTGTTACTTATTAAGTACTCCACTTCTGTAGATCCTTATCTAGGCCGCAGAGAGAAAAGCTCTATAGACCTGTGTATCGTTGTATTCCTATGGTACGTCGCTACGTCCGGCAAAAATTGCTTTTTGTTTCGGTTAACTTCCAATCGAACCCTGAAGCTACAGCTTAATATCTTCTAAGATATTCATGTTTTAACTCGACCCGCTAATGGTGTAATCTTATCTTGTATTTGATGCCTGGTTCTCGTTTACTTCTCCTTTGCTGTACCTCCCGCCTTGCGAACTCCTTGGAAATGAAGATGTTTATTTATAAGTGAGTTAGTGATTAGTAAGTAATACAGTGATGCGATACAAAGGTATAATTGTTCAACTAAGTATGTTAGGGGTTAATGAATTTAAGCTTAGTAAAATATAGAACGTATCAATCAATATTTTGTTCGGTTTTCTTAATGTTAGACATTCGCTTATAGCCTTGAATAAGCCACTGAAAAAAGAATACCAACTAGGACAGCTCGGTCTTTTGACTTGGACCAAGGAGGTGAAACTTCGAGTGGCATTCACGGCGATGGCCTCACCGATCACTCATAGTCCAACTGCTGTGCGAATTCAAAGCGGATGTTCTCATAACTGCTGATCTTTTCTCAATAGGCGCTCGTTCTTTAAACAAAAAAGGCAAAGACTTCATTAATATTAGAAAATAAGTAAGTCCAAACAGGTGGAACAATCCCGCATCTATCAGGGACAAGCTTGAAAGCGGTTGTTTAGTCAATATGAGTTTATTAAGCAAACGGGACGACCTCACACAAGCGTTGTGTCATCTTATTCAGCGATTTGCACATACGAAAGTCATCCAGATACATTCGTTTCATATACATATATAGTACTATCACGGAATAGCTATAGGAAAAAGCAAAAAAAAATAGACAAGGCAGAGTCCCTGCACTCTAACAGCATGGTAATAGCAACAAGGAACAGTAAGAAATGCACAAAGTGTACACTCAACGAGTAGAATGGCGCAGGTCATGAGGATGCTGTCCGAGTCGAACGCTAAAATCGCTTGGTCTATTCTCTTTCCATAATTTAAATTAAGCCTACTGCCACTATAGCGACACAGCTGTCTTATCTGCTATCTTATCTGGTACCGCCGGCAGTAACAGTAGCAAAAATTGTAGCCGCATTGACAGCACAGCTGCTAAACGGTACCCTTTCCTTTTCTAAAATCCGCAAAGGAAAAGTAGTACTAAAGAGGGAATTGGCGGCGTTGTCGGTCAGATATAGGGGAGAAATAGTAAGCGGACATAATTGTGGGAGTCTCTTATTAGTTAGCATCACTCAAAATGTGGTACGCATTGTGGTACGGCAGCATGAGAGACTCGTCGCTGTCGTTAGCTCCAATTCAGCAAAGCTGCTGTGTAGACGGCCATTGCCCCTATCCGCGTTGCCATCATTGTCACCGCAATAACTGTCACAGCAGCCGCTGTAATTGCTCGAGGAGTCTAACCGGTTACGGGCTTATGGAGAGGGCGACAACCAACTGTGAATGCGGTTTGCCGTTGTATTCTACGACGTTGAACGAAATTAACGATCAGGCCCCGAACGAGGAGGCTAATTACAATTATGACGTGTACTAATAATGATTATAGAGCTCAAGAAAATTACCGCTGAAAGATGACTAACTCCTGAGCCACTCACTTGTTGTCCGTCCTCTTACTGAGCCTTGCTTTGGGCACTAGGCACTTTTTAGGTTAGAGAGCCAGCTATATCCAATGCATCGAAGTTAATGGTAATTATTTGATGATCTTTCACGGCGGCTTCAAAATATCGCTCTATATGTCTAACAAGGTACCGGCGTAGTAGGGTGGACTGAATGGCTGACGTCCGCCGAGATCGCAACGGTGCCTATTTGCCATTTTATCTTATTTCTCGAGCATTGACAAAAGCTTGACTACTGACGCACTTATCGCAATGCATGATTTCGCGTCGCCACAATCGTCGTTACGAATCATAACTATATCCATATAACTGCAAGAGTAGTGTTTGTGAGACAGTTCCCTAAAAGTTATGTGGCTAGTCCGAACGCAACAGAGAGGGTGTGTGGACGATGAAAAAGCGGGAGTGGGTGGGATATACCTGTCCGTGATAAGAACACTGCAATGTACCAGCAGCTGCAACGACGGACTTAGGTTGACACTCGATTGAAGAAGCGGCAGGAAAAACAGCAGAGCCACGTTATGGGAGGCCTAGGACTAGCGGCGCGAAGGCTTTAGGGACACATAACATAATAACATAACACAAACTGTGGGCCCCACCCATCAACTTCTTAAACAGCGTTAGCCAACAGAATGCGATGCCCTTTTCAGCCCCTTATTCCTTTCCACTCGTTTCCCCTCCCAAGACCTTTTATGTCCTGTGAGCGAATAGTGAAGAGATGGGCTTGTCAGACAGAAGCAAAAACAACAACAATAGCAGCAGAAGAGACAAGGGCGGACGGAGGAGGGGCAGCAGGATGCTGGTTCAGTAGACTGCGCGTGGTCTTGTAATGGCAAACACTTTCATAGCAGGTGCTGAAGCTGGGCTTACCTTCTGAGTAAAAGAGGAGTAGCTAGAGCTACGCGGAGAAGGGATAGGTGGGGCAAGTCATGAGATTCCTGTGAAAGGCGGGGACTTGTGCGGCTGCGGCACGCCGTGATAACCGCCACCATTTTGGAAAGCCAGAGGTCGGCCTGCCTACTGCTTCTGTTAACTCTGGTCCATTATTGTGCTAGTGCTGATGGTGTATGCAAGTAGAAGAAACACTAGCAATAGCGATAGTTGGGTGCACGGTAGATCTTATCGTTGTGGGCGACAACGGCTACCTTTGAGGGATCAAGCATCCAGCAGTTGAATAGACAGATGGAGGGACAGACAGAGGCGAGGAAAAAAGGCGAACAGTAAAGCAAACTAATAAAAAGAGGAGTGATTTGTCGTGCAAAATGGAAAACGCCTGTGCACTGACACTTTTTAGAAAATTGTTACTGCTTATAAAAGTCCTTCTAAGCGCTTTCTCCTTCACTTCTGGGGTGAAATAATGCACCATTACAAGCAGACTAACCCCGAGTAGAACAATGGATATTACCTATGGATGCATTAGTTTCTATATTTCTACAGTAATGTATTCTTGCAGTTTCTACTTCAAACAGGTTTCCTAACCATCATTCACGTAAGTTATTTTTCGTGCGCAACTATATTCGTCGCTTTTTTTACACCTTCGAACATTCTACGAAGCACATGTAGGTTTCAGTATGTATACAGCAAACGTAAATATGATTGAACTGAATCTTCTTCAATGAGCATGAAGGCAAAAATTAAATTTAACAGACATTAGTAAGGCTTTAATGCTAAAGGTGATACAGGCCGAACTTACATTCACAGTAAGTATGTCTCTTTTAGCTGAGCGCCATCACATCGCATCACTCCTCAATGTAGAAGTTGAGAATCGATGGTTTCAAGTAAGACCACTAGCAAGTATTATCTGACGTGTGAAATAAGGGGAAGCGTTATCCTGGTGGTTGCGGTCGTTGCGTTTTAGTGCGTTACTATGGAAGGCGTAATTAACAAGCATGCAGCGTTGACAAGAGTTAACGAGGAAAATTATAAATCTAAGGTATTAAAGAAAATAGAAAATAAAATATGAATATTTTCATTAAGGGTAATACTTTTATAATGGCCATGCCGTTTCGTAGATCTGTCGGTAAAGGCCCAGGTAAGCACAGCAAGATCCACTTTGGCTAGACTTCTGATGGGGGCAAGTTCTTGAGGATACATCTAAGAAAATTACTGAAGGTGCATTCGAAAGACATCAGTACATCGAATGTTATTGTTGCACACGGGTACACAATGGTTCGGGGCGAGAGCAAAAGGTCGATAAGAAAATCAAGCGCATTCTTTAGATTATAATACAGAACGCCGCACGTAGTACCGCATGGTTGAGGCCATTTTATATTATGGCGCTTAGCTTCTACGCCGTATGTAAGCCTCTCTACAGCAATAAAACAATAATAAAAAATTAAAAGCTGATACAAAGTGAACATTGATAATGGCGTGACTTTTGGGACATAAACCTCGAAGCAATTAAAACAAATCCTGAGACGCTATTGCGTGTGGTTCTTTTTCCTAGACCTCTAAAGTAAGCCAACATAATGAGTTCAGTTACTCACCAAAGCTCATGCAAAACACTTAAAATAAATATATAGATCTGTGAAAAAAAAAAAAAAGCGGATAATATTCTTTTTTAATGAAGCTCTGATTGATAACTGATTACGGTACGCCAGATTCCCTAGGCAGTCGTTCAGATGTCTCTCGCATTGTGATTCGGCCAAATACTTCCTTATATCTGATTTTATCGCTATAGCGAAGACTTCGGGCGGTCTATAGCTTTAACGAGCCAATGGCTGTTATCTGTGACGTACTGATCTTCGAATGAGCAACTATTTTAGGCTATAGCAAACCAGCGCATACCGTTTAGCTAACACCTTTCACACCCCGCTCAGTAAAGTAAGAGCGTTTTTTTTTCTCGTGCTATACCTATATATCTAATGAAGCAATTTACATAACACTTAGTAAAATATGGATTTTATTTAATCTTCATCTGTTAACTCACTATCCACCGTATGGCAAAAAGTTCAATAAGGATAGGTTATGCGCGTATCCGTGCGTGCGACCATCCAGACATTTATAAATTTTCTAATTCGAAAAAAAAAGGTGTATTTTTGAAGTGTGCAAGGAACAAATAGGATTCCTTCTACAATCAGTTAATCGTATTGACGCAATTCAAGACGTCAACGGCGTATTCGGAGCGCGTCGTGAGTCTAGCCCTAGCTAAGCATACAATACTTCGTAGAAAATTAGGGCATGGTGGATCAAATACGTCTGCTTATAGTATTTACTATTAACAATAAAGAAAGCGTTTTTCAACAACATTTAGGTGTTGCTAAACCTATAACAACGATCTCTCTAAACAACGTAAATTAGCTGCGCAAAAAATTTCCAATATCTCAGCTGTGTTTAATTAAAATAAAAGTTAAATAAAAACTATTTGTAACGGCGTTCCACATAAGGGAGGGGTATAAACAAAGCAGCAACGGGATAATAGTGCTCATAATTTTGATGTTCACATTCGACTAAAATGAATAACCCTTTTGAACGCCTTATTATTACTCTACATTATATTTAAATACAGAGACTGACTGAAAACCTCTGCCTGTGGGATAGGTAAAGGCAGTCTAACCATACAGGTACTCATTTCTATGAAGATAGTAAGGGAATAGCTTAGCCTTGACCAATCAAACTGTTATTATATATCGCCCTCGGTCTTTTTCAGAACTAGTTTCAAACAATGTTCAACTCCGGACAAAGTCCAAAGTCCGGTCAAAGATAGAAAGTCAACATAATGCTACTTACAATGTACTTACTTTTGTGGAAGCCCCTACTTACTAACCTAAAAAACAGACAGGTGAAGGCTGTCAGCGATAACAAACTCGCTCACGCCATAACATTAATCTTTACACATATCGTTTTGCGGCCAGCGAAACCTCAAACTGCACATGACTACCTTAGTACAAGTGCTAGGGTCGTGTTCCTGTCACTATTATACATTATTATAGACTCAGAAAGCAATAACGTCCTGAGATTTTTACAGGTACGCCATTTTTGATTTGCCGTGGTGGAACATGTGGTACGTATTCCGGAACTGCGTCCCCGCAGTGCACGTACGTGTTTTACCATCGTAAAAATGTACAGACCTCCTGACATAATATGTTGAGTATGATTTTTCGCTTGAACTACATATAAAGTAAGTGTTGGCACTTCTACTCGCTGTGTCAGCAAAAAATTTACTCGACCCTTTTGAAAATAGACGGTATGGCACTTCGCAAATCTCAGCTCAGAACAATTTTCTTCAGAATATGGCCTGTAACTTAACAGTTGTCGTGTTCTGTTGCAGAAGAACGAACATTCAACGATTTCTCACAAGTTGCTCTAATAGCCAACAGTCGTCTACTCTGTAATTGCAACGCTAGATTCCAATATCTATGCACCAATCGGTTTCATGGAACCCTTTGAGTGATTCCCTCGAGAGACTAAGAAACCCAGGATGTACAAACAGAAGAAGGCGTAACTTGCACATCAGCTTACCTCATTTGAAGGCTGTAATGTTGAAGCATTCCTTTTTCCAAACATGTAAGTGAGCCGTCTATATAATAAAACAATATAATCTTAAATTGTGTCTTGATTGTGCAGCTGAAGGGATTAAAAACAAATTATCAAGCAATGCTGTTCGGCTACAGGTTTAAGCAGGATTAGGTTGGAGTCGCCCCCAATAGGCGCAAAAGCACTACAGATAGATGTAGGCACCAAAATGACAAGGGTGCTCTAGCATGACAATAGCTAGCGGTAGGCAGGTAGTAGCGGAAAGCTAGCGGATACGAGACGTAGACAAATATTATTTGAGGTCGTTGATGTAACTCCATTCATTGAATGTATCCAAGCATCCTCACAATACACAGGGCAATCTTCTGACTACCTAATGATCAACGTGACTAACAATGCACCTATTGTGTCTGAATAGAATAACGTAACAGGTAGATTAATATGCAGCTGCTCTCGGTATTCAGAACGCCTCTAAAAAAATATCGCTTGTTTACGCTGACCCTTGACATTACTTATAAAAGCGTTATATTTTCACACGTATTCTATCTGTCTCTCGAGGCGAGAACAGAATGACTGAGGAGTTTGTAGAAAGGGCATCGATCTCGACGAGGGGGACAGAGGCACAGTTCACATACTGGGGCTGATGGATGTGGTTTGTGGTGTGATTGGGTAAATGGAGGGGCTATATGCTGCCGCCCAAAATACATAGACAGTGCACGCCAATAGATTTAGAGAAGTGAACTGGATCTGTGATTTGCCATAAACAAGTACATTGAACAATAAATCTACGTTCTGATTTACTCATAGTCACGCCACAAACACTACAAGGGATGCACATAAAAGGAGTAGGAATAACTTATTGTTCCTGCCATTAATGGAATCAAGAAAAACAATTAAGCGCTGGCCAGCCGGTCTTGTAGTCATACTTGTTCGTTCTTGTCATCCGTCACCTCAAGCGCATAGTCGATGGGTTGTTTCTTCAACGATTGTGGACTACTTTCAACCGAATATTGACGTTTTCCAGATTCTTCGTCGTAGCGCGAAGCATTGTCCTCTGATGACCCGTTATTGCGGGGTCCTGTCATCAAAGTGTAAACATATCCTTCAAGAGCCTCGAATGGCCTCACGAGAAGGATGTGTAGAATGATGGAGACCATTATCGAAGCGAAAAAGTTCCAGAAGATCTCAATTATCTGAAATGAGAGATGTAATGCAGGCGTTTAGTAGGTAACACTGCATCAATGTAAAGATACTTGCAGTATGACCCGGTAATCGCCGCAACGATATTTACAAGTTATCTCTTGCTTTCTTTTTCCCTTCAATCAGGTAGTGGTAGCTGTCCCTTATATTTTTCAGTTACCATTACATTCATCACATATCAGATGAAAGTCGATCAACTGATACAAAGATATTGTTTTAAGCTTGTCCAAGTTTGCGGTGGAACTTTGCTAAGAAAGTGCAATTAACCCGCTGCCATCTTTCTGTTTATACCATAACGCTGTTATTGTAGGATCTCTGTGGTTTCTGAATGAAAATGTGGCCTATCCTAACAATGAAGCTGAATTAACAACGTGAAGGGAGTTCCGCAAAAAATATGGGGACAGATGGTTCAAGATCAAGGATGCATTCAAGTTTTCTATTCAAATTGTCTCAGTTTTTGCTGGATAACTAAAGATTTACGTGGTCTGCAATTGAAGATGAACTTCTTCTATTCACTAGTTTTGGTCGATTTTTTTCGAATTTTCCTAGCTATTGGCAGGAAAAGCCCGCGTCAGTCGCTTTATCAGCCGACAGCAACCAGCACATAGTGCACGATTCCTTTCCTATTCCACCTCAACACACTACATTGCCTTTTTTGGCGCCAGCATGGGCTTTGCCACAAACTATGGAGGTAATTTTTTTTTCGTTCACACATTGTTGTCGTACGTGATCGACGTCTCATCAGCCATGTTAAAAATGATTTCATCGTATGTCTGAAGTATTTCCCCAGATGAAAGCATGATCGAGTTGCGTTAGTTCGTACGACACCCACCAAGCGTTGTTTTGTGGCTAGCTTCTCTTAAATAGTTCAAAACTCGATGTTTGGTCTCTTTGTCGTAACGAGATATTTCGTTCATATTCAAGGCGCTCTGTTTAAATCTAAATAAAAATATTCCATTTTAGCGCATCCACCGCTATCGAATCGCAGCTTTTAAATGACACCAACGCTAACCCTACCTGTAATATCTGCTTTTAAAGCCATCTAGAAAGCCAGTTAATATATTGATAATGATCCTGCTGTTTCCATTAATTGTCCCCGTTACTGTTGTCGCTGTCGCTACATATTCAATTAATTAGCACTGCCACCGCCGAGTTGCTCGTAATTACCCCTTGAGCACAGACCCCTCGAGCAAGTAAAAGAGAGCTCGCTGCTGTACCTAAAGAAAACAAAACAGTTCAGTAAATTAAGGCAATAGATTAAAGCTCAAGCTAAAGGTTACTATTGCTAATAGCTGGCTGTATTTATATAGTCACGATGCGGCATCCTGAACATACTATACCACCATCACAACTGCCGCATTTTGCACGCAGTATTAAGTACTTCAGTAATTAGTGATGGTTTGTTCTTATCTATCGGCAGCGGCAGCGCCCGTTCGCGTGCTCCAACAGGCGAGACACACAAGACGGACGTCGTTCGCAAACATACATACTCGTACGCAGCAGACAACGTACATCGCTCAGGTTAAGATTACGCGGAAGCGACTGTGGACCAAACTGCGCCCGGACCCGGTTCTGGACCCGTGGATAACTGTTGCCGATAGTAAGAGGATGTGATTTCGAAACACGAAGCTTTCGCGTTTAACCGATTGGAGTACAGCACGACTTTTGAGAACCTGAAAGAACCCTAGCTTCATTGTTTTGCTTCGTATTAAGGACAAAGTGATTTGGCGATAGAGGAAGTGGGGAGGGGGAAGGTGGGTCTTAGGGTAATGAAGATAGAAGAAAAAGGAAAGGGAGGGGATGCCATATTTATCTGCTTGTCTCAGAAAGGATACAGCTTCTTGCTGCTTTACCGGTTGGTACAAAAATATAAAAGGGAGTAGCATGTGACCTGGCTCAGGGCGATTCGTAGAGAACAGACAAGAAAAGATATCTCTCCAAAAGCAAGAGGAAATTAATAACGACTTCTATAAGGTAGGTGATAGCCGTACGAGTAGCCACAGCGGTTGTGGAGAGACAGACCTGGTACGGCAGGCACAACGAGCCCTAGCAGCGTCGCACATACTCGCTTATTTATTTTCCCCCCGTCGCGGCTGACAAACAGTATTCCAAGAGCAACTCAGAGAGCTAATTTTCCGAAACAAACTTCGGTACACCTTGAAACAGGCTAGTTTCATCCATAGAACAAAAGTTGCTGAAGGCATAGCAACCACCAAAAAATTGACATAATTCTCTCTGACGAAAATGGCAACAAGGTCTAAATTTCAATTGAAAACAATTTAAAGCAAATTTGGTCCTTTGTTTATACAGATATTCATAAAGCATAGTCGCGTCTGTCTTTGGCTACAAAACCACATGCATAAACGACCATATGAACACTGAAAATAGTAATGAAGATGTGCGTATTATTGTAATACAAGCTATAAGAATAGAGTCAAATTAAAACCTAAAAAAAAAAAGGCTGTCAATGGATCACAGGGATAAATTTTGATTCAACTGAAGAGCAACGAATAGCGATAATTGGAGGAATTAGACCTTAATATTGGCCAGTATATTACAGCTTTTCAGATCATAGCCATTAGGCTATTGATAAGACTAGAATTATACTTGACAATTCGAAAAATCAAGAAGACCGCAGCAGAAACAAAAACCACTATAATGCACCTATTAGGGACGGGATCTGGGTCATCGTTTTGATCCCACGCAAAACGGAAAAAGATGTTTCCTGGATAAAAATTAGTGGGTACTTTTTTTTCTGCAAAATCTGGAAGAATCCCTCTACGGTCGGTTCGAGGAACGCAATCAACCCAGCAAATCGCTAGCCTACACACGTATACGGGTCTTACATTTCATTCCCGCACCCGCACTCAGACAACCACTTACAGTGTACAGGGTGCGTGTTGAGAATCTGATCTGAGAAGTTGCCAGGCCGGCAGGATAACGGCCGCAACTGTAACCGAGAAGGCGGGGAACGGTTGGCTTTCCAATGCGAGAGCTCGTGATGTTGGCGCGATAGTATAAGACTTCGAAGGAAGGTGAGGATCTAGAAGCATTTGCAAGAGATCAAGGGTACCGATGCGAAACGGAACTAGCACCGGCACCAGACGATGGCCGCTAAGTAAACCTTTCCGGGGCAGTTCGACAAAAAAGATGGCACTTTCAGAAAACACCTGATTTTGCTGCTTCACCGGTCGGTCGACCGGTGAATAACAAAATCCGCTAACAGCTTCGGCATATGAGGCTGTGCTATCACTGCTGTTTCAGCTCTTGCTACCGTCACGCCGGAATTCGAGCAGCCTTAGTCCAGCTCCAAACGCAAAGGTCTCAACCTCTCTTGCTAAACAGTAGCAATAATAGCAGCGACATAACGAAACATTATAATGTAGCTTTCCGCAAAGAGAACATCGTGCTGCAGTAGCAGCTGCAGTAATCGCAGCAGCGATCACTATGGTTATCGCGCTTTGGACAGCAGCAACTGATATAATACAATCAAGAAACTAAAGATATTCATCATCATAATAATAACAGAGTTTGTTGCAGTTCAGTTCCCTTTGCCGGCGCACCGTGGCATCTCACACCGTCCGGTGGGACGGATAATCTAGTGAACGTTTTTCCATCGCTTTCTACAGGAAAAATTGGCGCTAAAGATAGATTCCTTCTGATTTTTCTTCTGTTCTCAAGCGTCTGTCTATTCCTTCTCCCGACGACCAGTGATGTGCACAGCTGGATAACCAAGTGGATGAAAGTCAGCGACGAGCAACGCCTTAATGTACATTTCCCTTCGTCAGTCGTTTCCGGCGCCGCTGACGGCGACGTTTTCTTTCTCAGTTCTGCGCTCAAGCCTCCATTTCTTTATCAATAAGGTTAGGAGCACTGCTATTGGCGGTTGATGCTATTTGGTCCTCTACTCGATGCATGCACTCGGTGTCTAATGGGATACTTCACACTGCTTCAACAAACTAATAGATTGCAAACGAATAAATGTAAACAAGATGATACAGCCAATTCGCACTAGCCACCCTCGGTGCTTAATAGCAACTAGAGCCCAAAATAGATAAAGCACAGCCTGTGTACGAATATTACAGACCAATATGCGGAACGATTCATCTGGTTCGGAATTTTTCTTACGATTTCTCTCTGCAACTGTACTAAAAATAAAAACAGTTACTTTTTTGAATTTGTTCACCTGTGATAAAAACATCAGTCCTAATGGTCACGTTTCTTTAACAATATTTTTACCGTTTCAATTCAGGACCTCAGCAACTTTTTTTTTTCATTTTCAAAATATTCCTTCTCTGATCCGCAATTAATTTTCTTAGTAGCAACTATGCATAACCCTGCTGAAGTATTGCCTCAATAAATCCCGAAGTCTAAAAAGTGCACCAAGGTGCGGAAGCCCGTAAAGAGACTAACCGTTGAATGACCTGATTCGGGATAGATACTCTCCTTCCGCTGTTCGCATCAAATAGTCGGGATCATCATAAATGGCTTTTCTGCGACGCTTTTGGTAATCATTGACCTACTTTGACCTAAGCCGTACCGAGAATATTTCGTTTCGGATTGGTTTTCGAATGCAGAAAAACTGGAAACGATATGGTCCGTCGATTTCGGACGAAAGAGAAAGTTCTTAATTTCAATCCGGTTTACCCAGTGCAACGGGATTCGATAAAAGCAAACCTTTGTTTATCACCAATTTGTGCTATTGTTTTAGGAAAAGACTGGCGTTCTACAATGATCGTGAGTAGCGGGTAAACTGCGAGCAAACTTAGCCGGGGCTGCTAATAGTATAACAGTACTGAGATTTACATCAAACGGACCTGCGCTAGCGTCATATAGTCACTTTAGAGTGGTGTTATTTATGAGCTGCGGTGGTGAAAAATGAGCTAATCATGAGATACTGCTAAACTGCTAGTTTATACTAGCTACTAATCACTTCCTGGACTTTGGTCGTTTATGCGCTATATGGGTATTCAGCGTATCGCTTAACTGCACGCTACATGTGTGAGAGCTTTCTACCTTCACACATTTGAAGTGGTGATATCCCATGTTAGCAGAGTCCTCAAGCATGCAGGGTGTATGTCAGTCAGGTCGGAAACATCGATGACGGGAAACCTTAACGGACCAGTTCATGTTTTCCGTCTTTAAACTGCAACTCTAACTATTGGCTAATGTATCTAGAACTTCTGTTTGCCTCTGTCCAGGCTAGTTTAGAGTGTCGCTAGCTAAGAAGGTAAGGTGCGGGCAAAATGGCGTGGAAGAAACATACGCTACGACGAGCACCTCTTGTAGTCTCTGAAGCAACCATATCGGTTTTCTTCAACATGCTACGTTGAATACTGCCTGCTCTCCTGACTCCGCTTGCTGGCAGACTGCCTAGCTACTATTGATGCTGTTGCAGAGCTTGCACTGCTCTTTAGCGTAGCCTACAGCGGTCCCTCCAGCTATCCCTCTCTCGCCGAGGCTGCTGCCGAGCTGTTCCAAAAGATACAAAGTGGTGGATATGGGCATGGCAAATCATTCTTTTGCAATTCTTTATTCCTCCCGCGCTGCTGTCTCGGCTGCAGTACGCTGCCCGTCATGGCTTTTGTTGGCCGACTAGTGAAGAAAGGGAGGCAAACATGGGGTAAGAAAGAAAGGATGTCGAGGCTCGGTCTTTCTCTTTCCCGTACAAGGAAAGCACCGAACAGAAAACGAAAAAAAAAAAGGAGAAGACTGGGGAAGAATAGAAGAAGTAATTCAGAGGCAACACACGCTTTCTCCCTGGCAATCTTCACAGGAGCCAGTTCGCTCGCTTGCCCTTGCGCTAAGACTTCCCTTTGACTTTTGCGTCTTCGACCGCTTATTGGGCCAGGCAGCCTCAATTGAGTTGCGTTGCAAACTTGCGTCTTTCACGTTCAGGCCAAACCCCCTTGACAATTGCGACCCTGGTTGGTTCAGACTTGCTTGGTATTCAAGCCTTTCTGCGAATGCCAGTCTTGAATTGCTTGCTGGTCGTTTTCTTATTACCAGTTTCACTCATGGATTTAACCAGATTACGACTTTTCCACGTTTCCACGGCCAGTTTTAATGAATCACTTACGACAGAAACAAGTTTTGAATGACGGAGAACATACTATACTCTTTCACGTATTTAATAAAGGCGTTTCCGCGCTATCCTATGACGGAGAAGGCGCTATTTTACTTTTGCCCGCTCGCCTAATATTTTCTGTCTGGAACGGACAACGTTTTCCCTGTATCATGCCGCCTACCTGTAACAGCTGCTCAACGGAAGAGGGTTGTATGGCCTGACAAAAATTAGTTGTAGCTAATAGGAACTTCGATGAGATTATTGTTCATCCAGCAGTTTGGTGCTGTTGTTCATAGATAATTCACTTTGTTTTAGCCAGGCGCCATTTCTCAAATAGCATCGATTTTGCATAGGTCGAAGGCGGTATTAGGGTCTAATTGTTACAATACGATAGGCCGATTGTTTAGCGAGTTGCATCACATAAACAGTTCATATAAGGTAAGCGCTATAGCTACTAGAATCGAATGAAAGAGCTATCGTTAGAAACCATTATCCCGCTGGAGGCTCAACTTAGCAAAAAGAAAACTTCGAGCTCAACGACCATGAACAACAGAAGGATAGAGGAGCGCATCTAAGACCATGTCCAGCTAAAACCAATCGTGCCTGACAGATGTCGACGACATGTTCAAAGAGGTTCAAAAAACGAAATTCAATATTACGACAGAACAAACAAATTGCCATAGAATAATAAACACGACTTCATAGACGCACGCAGTCCTAGGCGCAAATATTATATTATGTGCAAGGGAAAACAAAGCGGAACGCTTACCAATTGTTTTTTGGTGTAATATTGAGGTGCTCGCAGTGTACCGTTGTTGTAGAAAATGACAAACGGATTGATTAGGTAGATCAACAGCCAGATCCGGCCAACGGAAATGAAGCCAGGCCATGAGAGTAGCATGTTGAAGACGCCGCCTTTACCGGCATGGCACATCATAATCAGAAGACTGGTGACCAGGGCAAATACCACCCGATGAAGTGCGTCGTAGAAAGCGGACGCTATTGGCGAAGGCGAAGATGAGCCTGAAACCCGACAGAGAGGGACGAAAGGAAAAAACGGGCCAATCATTTGTTAGTTGTAGTACTGGTGGCTATAATCAGCTTCAGGAGCACACATAGAGTCTATCAGATCGGTTGCTCGGTTTGTCGGTTAATGAAACAGAGTCTTACTACGTTACCGCTGTGACGACGCTGGCAGCTTATAGTATGACAATGAAAAAAGCTTCTCGGCCTTCCGAAACCTATTACATCGATAGTAAAGAGGCTAAAAGAACTATTACGAGTACAATGAAGGGACAATAAGTCGAAAAAAAAATCGGCGAATCGGGAGTAAAATTGTAGAAATTGGAGGCATGTATATAGGGCAAACAATCAAGACTAATTATTTACTCTCAGAGAAGGTATCCGTTCTGAATAACACCACTGTGTCTGTGGGTATATTGGGTATTTAAACGGTCGGGGCGGCTAAACGTGGTTGTTATTTTTTCTTCACTCTTTTAAGGGAGCCATAAGAGCGACTGTTAGAAAATTCCCTTAAAACCTCTATCTTATCATAGTGGTATAGTGTTTTTTGGATACTCGAAATGCATCCACCTGATTCTGAATGCCAGTGATTCTGATACCTATCTCTTTTATGTGCTGGATCCTATATCCAAAAATACGGTAATCCATTATTTCTATTGTCATAGTGATATACAGTGGATGTATTTTATTCTTATTTATTTATTATGTTATTTAGATAACTATTGTTAATAGCTGATAACTGAGTATAACTTAATCTTCACATTCGTTAGGATTCGGGATTTCATTCGTTATAATATTATTATATGCGTGTTATGTCCAAAGACACAAATCTCCCGAATACATAGAAGCTCTAAGCAATTTCTGTGGCTACAGCAGAATCCAAATACGTCCTGCACGAGTAAAATCTTTAGGCTCAAATTCGATGTGGCTGATGGCCACACGATACCGCCGATTTCGTCTCTCGCAGTGCATGAGAATGTATAGCTACCACTTGAATCTGCACGCAAACATGTTCACGCATCGTACCGCAAACTTGAAACTCAAAGAAACCAACCTTTGTTCCAGCCGAACGTAGCGTTTACTGTTACTCCAGTAGCGGCGAGAATCATCAACCACATAAATGTCGTCTTCAGGCGATTCATCTTAGCAAAAGTCTTCTTTCGGTTGATCTTCTGAGTGAAGATAAACCCAACGATCAACCCTATTAAGAAAGGTCCTCCGCGGGAGTAGAGCTGCATTCCAACATGCGTCATATATGCGTTTCGAGAGCTGTCAAGACGGGTAAATTCAGCGAAACATGAGGAAACTTTACATCTTAGTAACGTGTGATTTAAGCTAAAGTCACATAAAATAACACATCTCTTAAGCCCAAACGTCCATAGAGGACGATCAGATTAAAGAGCGTGGTTGCCGCTAATACTCAGCGCGACAACTATTGGATGATATAACTAGACATCATCGTTCTCTTTATTTCCTTCAGTCTATTTATTTAGGTCTAATGCATCTGGGGTATGATGCTACACAATTGGTTATCTTTACTGAACACATGTTTCCTTCGTCTGGACAGATGAATTGAACGCGTTGGATGCAAGTTAACTCGTATATATTTCTAACAAGCCTCGCAGAAAAGGTTTCAGTTAAATAAAACCAACTGCTAAGTGCTATATTCTCCTAGATTCCCTGTATTCTATAAAAACCAACCCTCAAACAAAGCTGATTCTTAGTTAACTAATAACCCTAGAAGTACACCCATCGGAATGACGGCGTGTACATGGATAAAAAAGCTGAGCAGTCGTAATAATATCTAGTTTGCACAATACACCTTATAGCTACCTCGACCACAGGAAAGAACTAGTTGTCAGCTTTTCTTGGTGAGTAGCTCAATTTACTTCTCAATAACATATATCGAGTCAACAATTGTCAATATTTTTGTTGCCGATGCTATAAAGAGATTCAAGTTTTTTTTGCGGCTAACTTCTGTCAAAACTCCATACGTGAAAACTACTGAGAGTTATTCTTTTGAATTTATCCCTTGTTCGATTAGGATTTGGCGTTGCGTATTGAATATGATGCAATCACTGTTTGCTCAAATTTCTGTGAAATTTGCGAAGCTACTATCACTGTTACCTCAAAAGGGCGTCCTGCGTACGCCTGAACTTTGCTCGCGTTTAGGCGCTCAGGTTTGCGTGTCGCAGAGATAGGCTATGGTGCTCCACATATACGCGATAAGAATCCGGATGTTCCTTAACCCTTTTATTCAGTTAATGGAGAGTTTTAAATTTCTACGACCTTCCAGTCATGGACGAAGTAGAGCAACCATTAGGAAATTTCTGCAATTTTTTTTCGGAGACACTGAACTAGTCAGCACTCTCACCTAACCGACCGTCTGTTACAGCTACGCCGCATCAATGGGCATTCGCGACTATCTTTCCGCTATACTTTTTCCTCAGGAAGTTTTCGCTCGGGCGAACACAGTAAACAGCACAGGTGTTGGCGGCCATATTGAATTGCACTGTAAGTAAGACGACCGTAAGGAGAAACGATAGAGGTACAATTTCCCTACGGAGAAACTGCTCTCTTTTTTAAAATTACGGAGACAAGGAAGGCAAGCGAGCGAAGAGACGACGGTACCATATAGGGGGTTTACCAGCTGAGCAGCCGACTGTGACGGGTGGTTTTTCCTTCACGGGTTCCGCGATCAGTATGGCTGCCTCAACCAATACTGGCTAGCTTCTCGCAGAAGAATACACCTTGCTATCTGCATAGATATATACATTGACATATATGTCTTTGCCTCAAGACTACACTGCATTTGTCGTGTGCTTTCTATAAATTTATACGGATACTCATAGATAAAACTTACCCCTGTCGGTACTCTCGGAGCAATGTAGTTGGGCCGAGGTCATTGGCGTAGTTAATGATGAAATCAACAATCATTGTAACAAGAACAAGGACCCCCAAAGCGAAGTGCGTAAGGTCTTCAGCCCTGATAAAAATTGAAAGCGTTAAATTGTACACGGTTAACTGCTATGATAGGTTTATAGTGTTTTACTCAGTCTAGGTATCTTCGACTTTTTTTTTTACTTGGATCAGCTAATTGCCTTATTTTTGTTTTGTTACCCATGGCTTAATATCGTCCTTTAGAACTTGCTTCTTCTGACCTAGCTAATAGGTACTATGCTGCTAATAACCAATGTTCGCATTATGATACTGCCGTTCCGTGGTCTTAAGTAGAGACAGAACACAAAATGTGGAGGACGGCTTTTTCAGTACAGAAAAAAATCGTTTGTTCAGTCCTCAGACAAATTAACAAACGATGGATGCGTCATGATAAGAATGTAGTATTTGTATGATTCCATACGCCTGCCTCCAGCCCCTTTTAACGGAAGAAAAAAGTTCTAAGGTGAATTTTTGCCAGCTGAAAGGCCCAAAGCAATACTAAGTGGTTGACATGCTGAAGGGTTTATTGCGATATTAAATAAAAGAAAGCAGGCCCTTTCTTTTGAGTTAGACGTCCGTTCTATTTTATAGTCGGAACTTTCAAATAATAGACTGCTGCCTTTGTTCTCGGAGACTTATTCTAGCAATTCGAAGATAACTTACTATCCTAGAAGCAAGCAATACCGAGACAAAGGAATGACAAAATATTGACATGGTAGATAGTAAAGTAGACTGAATACAAAATCGGTCAACGGCACTGCTTTACTGCTGCACGTAGCGACTAAAAGAGAACAAACCATCACTACCACCAGTTACCTTTTCCAGAAGAAGTTAGCGATTACAGCAAGAAGTAAACCCTGCATCAGCATAGCCAAGAGCCATGCATGAGGGATGCACTGCAATTGCAATAAGAGATGCAAAATTTATTGTTATATCGTATATTTTATTTCCGGAGAGTAATAAAGTAGAAGCTATTTAGCGGCGCTCCTATCATGCAGTTCCCTGTCCGATTGCTTTTTGTTTTGTCAATATGTTCCTCAGTAATAATAAAGCGTAATGTCTGCTATATGTGAGAAGAATATACAGTACAGATTCAAAAGGGCGCGCAAACCTGTTCTTCGACCCGTACGAAGTTATTAACGAGTAGAACATTGGTCCACCAGTTGGTATCGCATTTTGCTAGGTAGCGTGTACTCTCAATGTCCCACGTGGGACCCGTCCCGAGGCCTGCGAAGCACTTGGCCAGGAACCATAACAAAAGATAGTAACACGGCAGTGTCTTGGTAAGTCGATGAAGTGTGTACTTAAGTACATGTTTGGTACCATCGAACTTGGACAGACCGAACGCGAAGAGGACACCGCTACGCATCATAAATAGGAATATAAAATGGCCGTCTATTAATTAAGCCGTCGATAAGCTCCGTGCTAGTATGCTTAATCTGCATCCAGTGATTTTGCATTACTAATTTTTTTCGTGCGCATCTTATATTATAATATACTGAACTAAATTAGGTCTTGACTTTATTGTGTTGGACGAGTAACTTTATCTGTGTACGCGGTACCCTAAATTGTCATAATTCATTTAGTAAGCAAACGTGCCTTAGTCCATACGATACCCCTAGATTTAAGCGAGCGTAACTCATAGCCTGGGTAAATAAAAAAGCTCACTATCATTTTATATTTAAATGTTCGGGCCAAAGAGTAGTAGAAACGTACGCGGTGACGCATAGGGAGTCTACAGCAAGATCCTTGTTTAAAATGAATTGAGTTGACATGGTCTCGAGCGCCTTTCGCATTTCTTTTAGGTTGGTTGTCATGTTACCTGCCCTCAGCTGGCCAGTATTACCCATAATGAGCCAAAACAGCGAGAAAAACTTCACTCCATTGATACATTTGATCGTATCTGGCGAAACGCGGCTATCCAGAAGCTTACGAAGTGAAACGACTGCGGAGCAATTGCGTAACATGTGGACAATATTACCGGTGTTTTCTGGAATACAGGTCAATTAACGCTTAACGTTAATGGACGCTTAATAAAAGCCTTGATTCATTCCTGTTTAGTTATAACCGTCCGACAAACCACTCGCTTCTCTATTGTTCTATATAGTATATTCTTATACTATGCAGTAACAATACCGCGGACGATTAGTATAAGCTAGGTGCAACGCGGCATAAAAACAAACAACCGAAGCGTCTTTCATTTAAGATATGCCGATTTTTTTTAAGCAACAATCGTTGTTGGGTTGAGTTGGACAGCTGAACCATGATATAAAATGTACCTATATAAAATGTACTTGTATAAAGTGTACTTTATCTATTTCAATGTAAGTTTATTAAAGAAAGGGAAATTTCTCAGGAAGTCAGTGTGGTTCAATTTTGGATAATTGCCGAAAATTAAATTAACTTTCACAGGGTTATTTTACGTTTCGAAATAATCTGCACGCAGACTTCTAATATTGAAACATACAAGTTCCTATATGACTATGGTAATTAAACGTCAATAAATCAATGGCGGCATTAGCAGGTTCACGGGAAAATATAAGACCTCTATTTGAAATCGAACGCAAGTTTCCTTTGTGATCGTCTCTCGGGCAGTAGAACGGTTCGACCCACCTCTGGCGTCGCGGGTAACAGGCCACCGTGGTCATGCAGCTTGATTGCCAACGGCTAATTTTGCCAATCATATGTTGATATTAAAAAATCATATATCATGGAATGCATTCAAACATCAGTACATAAATGCTACGTGGATTGATGGCGCCTTGTTGTATCCTCAAGCCCACGTAAAAAGGCATATTACAATGGGTACGTTTGCATGCACAGATATGTATGTGTTCGATATATTGCGTACGTTTAATCGAATGTTTATATCTAATTTATCATAAAAATACGATCGAACTAGACAGCATCGGAACTGACGGTGGCAAAGAAAAATTGAGTCTAATTGAAAAATATAATGATAAATGGAAATTTTGCTTAACAAAACAAATAGATACGTTGATGTATGTCAGGTAAACCAGCTACCCCTTCTTCGCTACAAGATTCGCTTCCACTTTATTCCAATGGATTGAATGATACCTAACAATTCATTGACCACAATTGTATGCATAGATGCATATAGCACCATATGAATGAGGCAGATTCAGAGGACTAGCCAGCAAAGGCGCACATCTCTCCTAAGCTAACGTATTTCTTAGTAGAATGGTCAATCCTTTATACGCAATACTTATGCTTATAAAAGCGTATATTTTAAAAGGTAACACTTCTGAATGGTATCAGAATGGTTTTGGCTATGCGAAGGAGGTTCTGCAGTCTCATTTGTTTCAAATTATAGTCTAGGGTTTATTATCGAAGTGGCGACTGGCGTCAGCCGGCAGTACGGCGTAGAAATTTTAACTTCCAGATGGAACCGACAAGGCAACAGCGTTTACAGCTTTAACGAGAGATGAAAGCAACTATGTACTGAGAAAAAGTTTTAACATAGCAGGGTTTCCACCATCGTACAAAGGCTCGAAAATTACTTGTGATTGCTCTTACAAATATCTAGAACCACTCCCCGCTCGGTGATCTTCGACAGCATTGAAACACTGCTAATGAAATAGGCATATTATGTAGAAACGGCAAATTATAATAATAACAACTATAACTACAGTAGATTGACTCGCCGATTTGGTCCCATGCCCTGTGGCCTTTAGTGGAACTACCTTATATATTTAATATTATACCCAGTCTAAAGGAGGTAGCAATAGTTGCAATTGCCCTGCCCCACTGAAGAGTTGCTTGATCGGTTTGCTGAATAGTATCTGATTCACCTACTTAATATTAATATATAACAATATTCTATTGTAGTTATAAAGTTTGGGTGATTTGTTTTCCCGACGCAGTTGTTGGAAGACGTACAGACGTTGTTGCGATAATTTTTGTCGATAAATTCCGTCCCAACAACCTTGTTGCCGCGCATTATGTGTTGTATTCGTTCCATTATCTCGTTGCAAATATCAATAACCATATTTCATAAACAATTACTCCATTAGCTTGGTGGGTTTATTAATCGATTCCAAAATGATTGATTTCGCTCACTGTGTCGCAGGAGGATTCCAATTTATCTTTCGGTCAGCTTCGGGGTTATCAAAAAAAGCAGCTCAAACAAATTGTGCTTCAGTTCTATACTCAAAAGTGATCTCCAGCCACACTCGCGGCAGCAGTCTGAGATTTTGTCTAACCTAACCTTATATTCTTCAGCAGTTCCCGTTGGACTCTGTCGCATATCTCCCATCTATCTCCAAGCCGGTAGGCCATATCCATCCAATCAGAGAATGGAAACCATAAATCAGTGATGAAACAACGGAAATTATTTTCCAAATTCTTAAAGGCTGTCGAACAGATCACTAAAAAAGGATCACCTACCCAAGTATGCTTCTAATCGAATATATAAATTATATCTACTGTATCTGTACGCTTGGAGAATAAAAGCTGCGATCATTTACATTTTATCAATAGGGCGAAAATAATCACTTGAGCATTTAATGGCTAAAATGTGAAAATTCCTCCAAATTCAATGTTAGCTTTTGTAAAGCTTTGGAAAATAGTTAAATTATAATTACGTTGGCATTGCATTTTTCTGAGAAAACTAACGCTTAATTCAGGAAACGCTTCCCCGCACTGCTTTCCTAGGATGATATTTTAGCTATCCACGAGAAACGAGCCATGTCCGACCATTTCAAGACGGCTATTGGGTTCGGACAAGCGGGCACAAAGTTTTACTGCCATTCTTTTCACGTTGTGATCCCTAAGAGCTACTGCGTCTGTTTAGCATCGCTTCAAAATGATCGGGCAAGCGGCACAAGATTGGGTCAGTGTTCTTCTCTGCACGGAGTGATGCAGTCCCAGACGCAACGTTCTGCACTCCACCAACAATTTACAGCGCTTCATCTTTGTCATCTGTTGAAAGCGCGCTCCGCGTAGCATACTAAACGTAAAAACGGTTAGGTCTAGAAGGCATAGTACATGTCGCATAGGCTCAGTATGACGCACAGAGCTCCCCGGAAGACTTTCCAGTGCCCGGTAAAGGACAGGCCGATGCCCTACCTTTCAGAGATCTGACCTCGATCGAACGAACCGTATAGCAGGAAAAGTGACGGATAAATAAGTTTGACGGATCCGCGGCTGCGTCGTGCGCCATGAAATTAATTTCATTCAATTTTTATCAGGCTAGATAGATTGCTATATGCGTACGAACGTTGAGATCAAAGGCATTCCTAACATTTTCATTAACAGGGTTAAATAGACAGCTGTTTAGCTTAGAGTGTACATAATAATATGGGACGAATGGTGTTACATTCTGAGAACCGTGAAGAGCCAGAGTGCTGCAGTGGTAGACGTTTGTTTCCACCGCTCAAACTAGATAGACACGAAGTTTAAATTACAGTTCGGTAGTAGTTGACCATGAAATGTAAAAGAAGACGGCGATACTTGGAGAAATATATAGCGTAACATCTGGGTAGAATGCATCAAGATGGTATCAGAAGCGTGAACTGTTAATGGCACAGCTGTGCCACATCCTGTTAACTTTGGCTTAAGGCAATTAGTCGGTTCAACTTAACCCGTTACATAAATAACACTATCGTCTGCCGCACTACTACCTTATCGCCTAACATCACAGAGTCGAATAGCTCCTCCTATCGTTGCGCCGGTATCATTGTATGCAAAATATTTCCTCGAAGTAAGTGGAAAACTTTTTAGCGGCAGCATTGCCTTTTTATTGACAACAGCGAGGGCCGATACTACGATGATCTATACGTATAGGTGGATAAAAAAGTACAGGGTCCTCGAGTTTAAATAAACGGATTTTTGTTCCGAATCCGGTTCTAGAGCTTGGGCTTCAAAAGTGGTATTCAAAGTGGTGGGCACAGTACTTTAAATATTAAAAAAACGCCTGCTGGGAACCTAAATCAAATTAATGGCTACTATTTTTTTGGCGTTATTCGGTGAGAGTACATAAAGTTATATGGCGACAGCAGTGAATATTGAAATACGATATCAAGAACAGTTATCTAACGAAGAAAAAGGAAAACAACGAGGTGCAATTACCTATGGAGCTTCACTATATTCGTCGTGTCTTCGTGTAGGACTTTGGGAAAAATCTGACTCTGGCGAGTGCATCCTAAACAAGGCTACGATGTGAGAAAAATATGCAATAGATCGGAACAAAGGTAGGAGAAAAATTTCTTTGGCAAGATATAATTTTAACTCACAAAAACTGCGCATACCGTAGTCAAATGTGTGCTTAACGTCATAGTCTTTCGACTCGCGGTCAATTGTGATGCAGACGTACGTGTCTACGAGAGTACCGATGGCTACCAGGAGAGCCAACATTCCGAAAATGCACCTGTAAAAAAACTTAACCTTATATAATAAATATATATATATATATATAATGTCAAGTCTATCGAAGAAGAAGGGCGGGGCCAAAATGGACAGGAAACAACGTGAGCATCGCGTTCTAGTTTAATATAATCTATATGAACGGTTGATTGTATATAGTGAAAATACCTCATCGAGAGCTGTTTATATCATATCAGGTAGAATTTGAAGGTTGCATCTAGACTCTCGTAGCTGGTCAATTTTCAGCGGACCAAGTCGAATTTTCAATGTCTCGTTTTTACCTAGACCTATTCCACGGGAAGTCTTCGAATTATATGGACGAAAACTTTTGTCATTAAAATATTTTTTCGTCTAGCTTCTACATGAATTCTTGTTATTTTCGTGTGAATAAAAAACTAATGAACAAAATAGCGCGGATTGAGACAGAGTAACGTAGACAGAACTTGCGGTTTGCTTGGCAATATTTTGATCTTCTATATCATTTTCACGAATGTCTCTTAGCAACCTGTGGGCCTTAGTTTAGTTTCGAAAAACCATCATCGATAAGTGTGCGACGACAAGGAACGTCCGTTCCCTGAGAAAATCGGTTTCGCGTAGAGTGGCAGGAGAAAATCCAGATCCTCCTCAATTCTAACTGAATGGATTAAAATGGATCACTCCTTCTAAACTTAATTAGTTATCTAAAGTTTGTGAGTAAGAAAGAAGCTGCAAAGCTGACACTATCTAAGTAAAAATATTTAGCCACTGCAATAATGCTTATTTTTGTAATCAACGCAGCGGGACTGTAAGCATATTTCTTCAGCTTCACTTTTAATCTGTTTACTTTGTTCCGATCGATGGGCAAAAAATTGACATTTAGGAACTTTTGCAGATTCGTGTTGTAGAACATCCATAGTACCTCCGGATTGTTCCCAGAGCTTTCCAACAAATTCAAGGAACTAGAAAAGTGTCGACTATCCCTTCACAGAGTATATGTGCCCATTTAACCAAGTGAATTAGATGCAGCGCATAACAATATTGATTTGTTATTGATACTATTGTATCAGCTTCGGAACAGGGAATAGGTAATGTCCGTATGCAAAGGATGAAATCGAAAAATACAGCGGAGTACTTTGTTTCACAACGTAAATAAATATATAAATTATGTATATGACTCAATCTCATTAGATATGGTTTTTATTTTGTAGCATATAAGCACATAAATTACATATCTTGCTTCAACTACATGCCGTTCTCTTATATTAGAAGTACCCAATGAATGACCCTGCCAGCCCAAACCTCGCCATTTTCTTCGTGAAATATATATTCGCATGTGTGAACTTTTATCGTTACGCGGATCCAACGGTTATAGTAGGTACTAGGTGCATACGGCAGTTTTCCTGAACAAATTTATTAGAGTTTTACGTCCTATGTTGCATTGCTTCAGACATGCCAGTAGGCAAACTACTACTAATAAACGAATCGTAATAATAATAATACTGAAGAGCAATGTTTCAATGAACCAGTCCTTTCTAGTACGAAGCTTCTACCAGCCTTGATTTATTTGTCTCAAGATAAACTACTACTAGTACTACTAACACAATGAGCTGCGTTGAAAATGTCCAGCTAATCCTGTTTTCCGTGTCGCGTGTCGTACATGACACAATGTCCATCCCAACTACCATGGGGAACTTTGAGTAATTGTCGCTGATGAACTTGTAGAGCATATTCTTGATGGCGGCTCCCATATTTTGGAATGATAATTTGGTGCACGGAGATGGCACACAGAGCCCTATGAAGCCAGGGAACTCTGGCTGCAGTTTCCTGACCTCTGAAATATATTATCAGCCATTTAGGTTGAATTTAACATCGCGTAGTATCGGAAGGTACGGTATGATGCACATAGTCTTCGTCTCAGATCAAAGATAACATTAAATCAAGAACGTTATATTAAGTGTCGAATAAAATTACGCTTTACATAGAAGCGTTAGATGAGTTGCTTAATTGTTCAAATAAGTAACACTGCTGAATTCATACTAACCATCCATTTGGCCTTCCTCCTTCTTCATCGTCTCTTGAAATTCAGTCATTGTCTGATTCGGTCGCACGAACCCTGGATTACGGCTCAGACGAAGTTTGAAACTGCAGTACGCGCCCTTAATTATAGACGGTAGATTGGGATATCTCGTCGTAACATCGACAATATCATCAATGTCCTGGTCATCTATCTTCATACATTGATCGTAGTGCGAAACAAAGCTAAACGTTCCTGACAAAAGTCCACTTGGCGGCTTCACCAAAGCATCAGCCACTGTAATTGACACAAGCGCATAACACATTAGCCCTACATCATTCAACTACACTGCGTACTAGTAATTTCCGTTTGTCTTTAATGATCCCTTTCCTGTCCACTGTTTGTTCATTTGTACAGAATATTCGAAAATCCATTTCTTCCTCTTAGAGTTACTTATAACTTTATGTGCAGGAAGCGCAACTTTGTTGGGCTCAGGTTCCAAAGACAGAGGCTTCAAATTATAGAGATGCATTTTCGGCAGTTAAACTATTTTGTCTTCTGCCAAGGTTGAGATCTGTCGAAGCAACTCATGATATGTGTGCCATAGATGCTTTAAAACTGAGAGGACTACAAAAGGGTCTGTTAAATTTCAGCATGGGCTCGTGGAATTGGAGTATATAATCTATGCTGCTTGACCGTGCGAGGCCGGTGGGGTTCAAGGTGCTCACTGGCGCAAGTCGAGATACCGGATACCGGTAAGTTATCTTGAGTGTATAGTATTTTATCAAAAATTAAGGGTCTGGGAGCTAAGTCAGGCTTTTTTCTCAGGAAGACCATGATTTAAGTTTGGTAGAGTTAGAAAAACTGTCTTAAACACTGAGAAAAAGTGCCTGATGAGAGCAAAGTGTTTAACAACGATCTGTATATGGCCTGCTTGCGTCAAATAAACGCGGCTATCCAATAGAAAACGTTTCACAATCAGGGTAAAGCCGTGAGAGACGCTCTGCAGAAGTTTGAGCTGGAATTTCTCTTACACCCCAAATATTCTCTAGCTCACCCGCCACCTCGGAATACTATTTGGTTCGATTGTTGGCAAGCGAAGTTAGAAACAATACATTTGACACTGCAAATGGCCTTTAAAATATAGCTGGATGAGTTCCTGAGTAGCAGACCTGAAATTTTCTAGCGAAAAGGAATGAATAAATTCGTTGACATATAAAGAAAATTGTGGAGAGTAACGGCGAACAAATATTAACTAATTATCAGACCTTCAATGAAAAACTCTATCCACAGTTCATAATCTCCAATCACGCTATCCTAGTAGAACGTTAACTTATTCGAAAAAAAATAGGTTACTAGATCCGTTGGCGCAATTTAAGGTCGGCGAAGTCTCCACATAAATATTTTACCCCAATGCAATGATAACTGGTATGAACGTTAGGTAGATCTGTTTTTTTACACCTACGTTCATATCAACTAACATTGTACTGGGGTAAAATATCCATATGGAGACCTTGCCGACTTTAAATTGCGCCAACGGGTTTAGTAGCCTATTTTTTTCGAACAAGTTAACGTCCTTAATAACACTAGGATAGGATGATTATGGATTGTTGTAGAAATAATTTAGTTTTCGAGAAATCTGACGGGTAAAAATCCAAAGTTTTTTTTACCGTTTTCAAGATAGTTCATCATAGAAGAATATGGTCAATTCAAAAGTATCTGCTTGTATAAAGTTTATCGATCACTACTGAAACTATACAGTTTTGTGATCTATTTATTTAACGTCGGTTGTATTGAGAGGCGGGCTGGTATCGGTAACATTTAATCCTCTAAGCTATGTATTAATGGGTCTTGCATCCCTGATACCATAGGTATCAGCGACTCGTATAAAAAGTTCAGAAAAATCGAATTTTCAGTTAATAGCCTTTGCTTTTCTTCTAGAAGTTTATTTCCCTTGCAGCAATGTGTATTTTTCATTTCAATATTTCGTTTAACAGTATCATAACCATATCAGTAGAAACACACTAAATAAGCGGTGATTAGCAACATAACGTAATTTCTCATTTTTAGTTTAGAAAATAATTTTTATCTGGAGTTAGAATAATGAAAGGTGCATAGGAAAATCCCTTTTTTGCCTCCTTTTTGATGAAGTATGTACATTCTTTCGGTTAGCGTGTAGGCATGCGTGGTGATTTGCCAGCTATACTTGTTAAAAAGATTTATGTTAAAATTCTCGCTTTTTACAAATAAGTAGCCAGTCAGTGTTTGTATGTTTCTCTCTTAGTTCGGATGACTGTTGAAAGCTTCCGGCTGATCCTTCTGTATGTCGGCGCCTCTCGGACGGCCGGTTGAATACATTGTCGGACGCAACACCATGTCCTTGTGAGTACCGTAGTATTGCAGTTCTTTCCTTCCATCAGGTTTCTTCTTGTTCCCTCTTAGCTTTTCGATCCCGTTCATTCATCCGGATTGGGCACGAGAAGGTCTGGCTAAAGATCCATTCCGGCACAGTTCCTCTCAACTTTCACGTTACCCCATAACCGCGCCCTCAGCTAGCGTCGAAAAAACAGTAGATTTTGGGAACAAAACCAGCACACGGCCAACCCTGTTCCCTCTACCCGGTCGACGCTGAACCTTTTGGCTAAGATGGATCTGATTTGCACTGGGCATGTAGTGTAGAGAGAACGGAGTGAAATGAAATCTGGCATACGAAGCAAGTATGAAGGGCCGAGTACGAACAATACTGCGGCGGCGTTTGTTGGCTGGTATTGTCGCCACTGGCGAAGCACCAATACCGCCATTCTACCGTTGCCGTCAGTGAGGCGAATATCCTCACAGCTGTCCAGAGACTTCGCCTTCCTGTTTTGCGTTGTAGAGGCCTTGGGGTTTCATTTTTTCATAAGCGATAGCTGCCCACTGCCCTCATCATTGCTGCCACTGTGCTTTCCTGCCTTTGTCTGTTTGCCTGCCTGGCTGCTTGGTTACTCGGCTGGGTATATGTCTGAAGATTTCAAGAGTTCGCTCACTCGAAAACCAAGGGCCAAAGGCTTCCTCTAACAACTAACCAGCACAAATGTCGTCAGCTAACTCGTTATTTGGCCCCCGCACATTTGCTCTACTTACTTGTATTCTTCTAATGCTGCTTATGGAGGTTCTTGATCAATTCGTGCCCGATGCTATTCGAGTTTTTTTGACTGCGCAGTGCTTTCCTCATACGATCCCTACAATGATAGTCTTAAGCTGGATACTGCCCTCTTTGTTACTGCTTTCAATGTCGACAGTGCCTACTGTGTGCCGAAAGATTCTCACTTGTCACCCATACGATATGTCGCCGATTCGTTTTTAGACGATAGACGCATCAACCAACCGACCGACACTTAAGACACAGCTTAAGACAGTTACTCGCGGAAACCAGAACGATGACATTGCTCGTCTGTCAGTCCTCAAAGTTGTTGTATGAAAAATTCGCCACTTTATCCCATAGCTACAAACGATCAGAAAGTGGTGGAAGATATTACCTTTAGGTAGATCTAGTCGCAGCGTTTATCGAGCGGTCACAGTGATCCTCGTTTTACCACACGTTCTATGGCTGAATCATTGGATAGCAGTGGTAGTTATGACTGTGGCTACACCAGCCGAAGCCAGTACGTAATATGAATGTGTCGCTGCATAACCTGCCGAGAGAATAAAGGTAGCGGTGATCGGCGATTGGAGTGGCCCGTTTGCCCGTACATTTCAATCTCCTTCGGGTCAGACTGGACTACCCGCTCCTTCCGTCAAAATACGTTTGACTGGTAGCCAGGGGTTCATTCATCATGTATATTAGTTCGGCAGCCGCCCGCAACACCCGAGGGAGCTAACACCGTCGTCCCAAGTGTCCAAGTCACTCGTTGCTGCACTGCCTGAGGCAGCCGCCCCCATCGTCATGGCCGTCCTTTAAACCTCCGTTCTACATCACCCTCGTCTTCTTTTCGTACCTCATCGTCGACTCCCTAGCTCCTCGCAGGTCCCCGCGCTTCAGAGCTGCGGCCAAACAGCAGCAGGGGCTACGGATAGATGAAGTGGCGAATTGGATATAATTGCTCGGCTGATCTGTGGATGTCACATGCGGCCCTACCACATTTTCCCCTTCGTACCTTTTCCTTAGCGCTCTAGTTGTTGCTGCTGCTATTCAGTAATGTTGTACGTGTGCATGCGTGAAAGTCTGAACAATTATAATCACGCCGAAGCAGATATCTTTCAAGACCTATTGAGTGACTATTGAGTTTCGATTTTACTGATAGAGGGCAAGCTCTGCGAGCTAGCATAGTATTGGTATCGCGCTGGAAATGATTTCAACCTTTATAAAAACGTTGAGGAAAGTTTCGTCTAGCTTCCATGGCCATAGATATATATACTGCTTTCAGATTTAATTATAAACAGTCTTCATTGGATAACCCTGGAAGGAACAGGCGGGCTGGATTGGTTTTGCTGCCATGCTGTAAAAAGAATGACTGCCTCTAGGTTTTATGCAAAATAATATCGTCGCTGCTAGTAATATAATTCACAATTCATAGTTGCACTAATACGCATTTTACACGAATAAGGATCACCACCAATTCTTATAAGAAGAATACCACAGAGAAACTCAGGCATCAAACATACGTCTACTCGTAATGTATAATAGAACATCTGACACTGCTAATCTGGCAATGTCAGGTGACCTGTTGCTGATCTCGGAAAGCAGCCGTTATACAAGAACATCCTATCTATTGAAAGGAAATTTAACAGTGCAATTAATGTTCTCCTTGAACTGGAACAAGTTGGATATCCACTAGACAGCTGACCTTGGATATAACACAACAGACGGCCTCTTTCTTCCTGTTGGAGTGGACGACGGTGCGCTCAGGGCCCGCAAAGGCGTCTATCCAGGCGGACCAGAAAGTGACCACACATGGCATTTGTCGCCTGGCTAGAAGCACTAGTAGCAGCAGCGTTAACATCAGGACACACTCTAGCCAAAGTAAGACTGTGGAAAAAGCAGGACTGAGAGTGCATTGGGAGGAAAACGCGGAGGAAGCGGTCTCGTTTGCTTTTGTTGTTCATTTTTCTCCGAGACAAATGAAAAAGGCCTGCGCTGTACCTAGACAACCAGGCGACCCTCACGTACGGGCGGCGGTGGCGGAAAAGCTGGCCAGTATACGCTGCTGTCGAGGAGTTGAAGGCGGGTGGTAGAGCTAATAGCAGGGGATGAGACAGACCAAACGGAGACTAGAAGGACCCTCTTGCAGCAGCAGGCTACACTATTACTACCTCAC